CATTGACTGTGTGTATTCTGTAGGTGGCTCTCGATGTCATAGAGGAGCTGTGTTATGAGATGGCTTTGCAAAGACTGGAGGCCATGGATGAATACACAGTTTTCATCGTTACAAACAGAGGTACAAATCAAACACATCACCACCCAAACATCACAGTTAAAGCCATAATAAATGAATAATGAATAATATAGATGAAATATCTTTATCAAAGCAAAAAATGAAGACCTTTAAATCCTAGTTTAAGAGCCCATATAATGGAGAACCCTAAGTTCCCAAAGGAAGATAAAGAAGTTCCACAACTAATTTCCTTACCATTTACTTTACAGTCCATACATTCACAGCAAATAAGGACTGTTGCTTTTTGAACAAGGCACAATACAGGGAGCTTGTGAGCTTCACAAACCTCTGAAGTCGTGTCATCATTCTGTATTCAGCTTCATGCCCATATCAGGAACTCTGGGTCTAAGCTAATCACTGCTAAATGCTCAAAGCCCTTAAGCTTTGCAGTACGTACACTCTTCCTCTGAACGTGATTGGATCCTCTGAAGGTCATCAAGGAGTGGAAATAGCAATATTGCTAAATGCAAGCTAACAATGCTGTGCAATGAAATGATATTATAAGACAGACTTCATCAAAAAAACCCACATAAACTAGCAAGCTTTATCCGATGTGGTAGTTTGGAGGCTTTGGTTGTTTTAGACTACAGTTTGAGTAGCTGGTGTGGGTATATAATTATTATTGAACAGATGAAAAGATTATTGATTTCAGTGTGCAGAAGTGTTAGCTTGCTATTAGCATGTTTGTAGCATTATTTCGACTCATTATCAACCTCATATTTCCGAGGATCTAGTGTCACTTGGTGGAAACAAAATGCAACATTTCTGTTAACCACAGGATGTGATATTGGTGATTTTTGAAAATGCCTTTCGTTTTTTTTATAAAGAAAATCTGCTAAGACCCAGATTACCTTATATAAGCATGATGCCACCACAGAATGAAGCACAACCAGAGCTGGTTTATGAGGAGCCTGGCGTCTTCCTATTTCCCCCATTATATCAAGAACATGACAGCGAAACAGCAGAGGGAGCCCACGAGCGAGTCCTCTATGAATGGGAGTAAATAGAGCTGAATGGCTAAAAACAAAAGTTAAACTAGTTTCTAATCACTCGCCCAGAACTTTCCTTCAATTTTAGAAAGTAGAAGGATGTATTTCACTAAAACTGTATGTTTCTTTTTCTACAGCAAGCAGGTTTTGGGCTGCACAACGCTAATATTACCGCTAGTGAGTGCTGATTGGTTGGTGAGCGGAGCAGCTTATTGGCTGGTTGTGCTCACTCATGAATGTACATGAACGCCATTTTAAACTCCTATAACTCGAGTTTAAAAGCGCTTAAAATATAACAGCAGTGTTAAAATGTTTTATGCTGTTCTGTGTTCAGGAAAGATTTAATTCTTTTACATTAAAAATGTTTAAGCATTTATAAACTATTATTTTGTTCAAACGCTCCATCTTAACCAATTCATTTTGCGCTTGCTCGGGAGCGCCCTCTAGTGTTTGAGAAACCTGGAAGACACTACAGAGTGGCAATTCTCTCTACAGGTTCTCTGGCACAACTTCAGGGGTCACAGGCACAGTTACAAAAACAACCTAAGGCATAAAAAGAGGTTGAAAATGGTCATGTAAATTAATTATGACTGTTTTTGGTCCACATTTCCAAACAGACATTAAAGGCTCTTTATATACAGGAGGTGTTCAGCTGCAGTTCCTGGTAGTTTAATCTATATGTCGCAGGTCAGAATGTGCGGCCGCTGAATAAGAGGGAGTACATCCTGGACATTGCTACGGAGGCGGAGCAGATCGACAGCAACTACAGCTTCTGGTTCCGACGGGTTATCTGGGCTCAGCCACTCAAGTTTGACAACGAACTCAGTGTCACAATACACTACAATCAAGTATGAAGGCTTTGTGTCCCAAAGCATTTTAACCTGTTATAAGACATTCAAATGCATGTACTCTTCCCTAAAAGCATAATACAATGTTTTACCGTTCTGTATTACAACCACAGATGAAAGCTGTTTGCTACCTTGTACTTACACTCACTTTATGAGCTCAATCTACCTTACAGCTCCACTATATAGAGTGGAGGAAAGAAGTATTCAACATTTTTTAGTAAACATACTTCCAATGCAGCTCTTCACATGAAATTTAGACCAGCCATTACTAAGTTTACCAGACAAACAATGAGTCACCTGTGACTGAAACGTGCCTAATAGCGTGTAATACCCCCACAAGCATGAATAACAGCTGTGATTCGATTTGGCCTGGACTGGACAAGTTTCCGGATGTAGGCAACATCAATGCTCAGCCACTCTTGCGTCAAAGAATTGTGCAGTTCAGCCAGATTTCCTGGATGCCTTCCCTGGCGTCTTACTCATTGTTCCAGGTCGTCCCACAGATGTTCAAGAGGATTCAAATCTGGAGATTTTGTGGGCCAGTCCAGATGTGTGAATGCACCTGAATGTTCATCATGCTAATCAGTCACATTTGCAGCCCTGTGAACGTGAAAATTGTCATCTTGGAATACAGGGGTAGGAATGTTATGTTCCTCTGTAAGATGATGAGCAAAACGCAAAACCTGGTTGTCCTTCAGCTCAATGTCTGGACTGTGGGTCAAATTTACTGTCACCTCAACCAAAGGACCCCTTACCGTGTAATTAAAACACCCTTAGAACATCACAGAGCCTCCAGCTTGAACCACACCCTGCACACAGTCCTCATTGAAGGCTTCCTGATGTCTACAATGAACATGACAGCGAGCATCATCCGATACACCTGCAAATTCGATACAACTTCAAATTCAGCTACTTCTTTCACACTGTGGCATTTGGACTGCCCAAATGCAGTCACTCCTTTTTGCCAATCATTATCCAGTCATTGCACTGTACCACCTTTTCTCAATCTATGAATCCCTTCGCACACCCTGCAGGTATTTATAGCCCGATCATTCTCGAGAAACACCATCTGCAGGATCCTGAGGTTACTACTACCTTAAACGCGTAAGGTGACTAATTTTTTGTCCGGGGAGCTTATTAACTGTAACATTTGAAAGTGAAAAGTCATTCCTAAAGTGGAAAGACACAGTACTGAACACAGTAAGAAAAAGCGCTAAACCAGCTGGTTCCACTAGTTAGTTCTCCTACCTGTACTGATTATGATCTGCTGGGTTAGTGCATGTTGGTAGGTTAGTACTTTAACTCTTTAAAAAGGGGTAGCTACCTCTAAATGCATGTAAACAAATCATTTGTCACCAAACTGTCACATAAGAAACTTCTCATGATGGGCAGAGGCAAAGGGGCTCTCCCAGGACATTTGTGACAAGATAGTTACTGAACTGCTTTACTACTTACTACTTTCTCAACTCCTAAATGTACCAATAAGCACCTCTAAGGCCATTATCCACAAGAGGAGAGAACATTACTCGACCATCAACGGGTCACGTACAGGAGATCCTCACAAGATTTCCGACTGGGCAGTCAGCAAGTTGGTCAGAAGAGCAGCCGTCAAAGCCAAGGACCACTTGCAAAGAGCTCCACAAAGACCTGGAGGTACAGAGGCAAACAGGTACAGTTGTCACAGAGAAAATAATAGACAAATGCAGTCCACCGCTAGGGTTTCCATTCACAATCACCATAGAGGACTCCATTACCGAAGAAAATGGCATGTTGAATCTCTTTCGAACTGTGATACAAAACATTTGGAGAAGCCTGTAAATTTCAGGGATAATGTATCGTGGTGCCCTGCGATGAACTGGCGACCTGTCCAGGGTGTTTCCTGCCTTCTGCCCAATGACCGCTGGGATAGGCTCCAGCTTCCCCCCGTGACCCAGAAGGATAAGCGGCTTGAAAATGTGTGCGTGTGTGTATTGTGGTCAGAAGAGACAAAAAACTCATTTTTCGTCAACAGTAAACATTTGTATTTTTTGGCCTCGTCTGCACATGACCCTAAAAATACCAAACTACAGTAAAGTTTGGAGGTGGAAGCATCATTTTATGGGTCAGTTTCTCTTCTCACGGTACCAACGGAATCCAGAGAAGATGAATGGAGCCGTGTACTTGGAGATTCTTGAGAAGAATCTGCTACCATTTAGCAGGATAATGAAAAGTGTTGGAATGGCCCAGTCGATCACCAGACTTGAGCCCAATCAAAAATCTGTGGAAGGAACTGAAGATCAAGATTCACCAGTGGGTCTGTGTAGAAGAATAAGCCCACCTGAACACTGTGAGAGATTAGTTTCTTCATACAGGAAGCTTCTTAAAGCTGCCATTGCAAACAAAGTCTTCTCCACTAAGTATTAAATACATTTCAGTTGGCATGTTCAATATATTTTTCCAGTGTCATTCCATTTTATTGCACGTACCTTTTTATAGATTGAAATGATACTATTTCTTTGGCTGTGTATTTATTGAGTTAATACCAATGGCTGGTCTAAATTTCATGTGAATAGCCACATTGGAAATATGTTGAATAAAAAATTGTCCACATATTGAATACTTACTTCCCCCACTGTAGGTTACAGACCGAAGACAATATGTTATCAGTGCTACTGACCATTCTCAGCACAGTACTGACACTGACACGCAAGGTTGAGAGTGGTCCACCACCCAAAACCGCCCAACCTAGAGTGAGTCTTTAATCAGAAACTGACTGACTAGAAGATACCAGACACACAATTTGCATTGGTAGATGAGCTACAGTCTCTAAGCAAGGTGGAGCTACAAGAGAGAGGTTTCCAGCTCTGTATTTGAGTGTGCTTGTCTGTGTGTGTGTCCTTGCAGGTTCTTCCTGACTATCTGAAGGGTTTGCTCAACGTTCTGCCCCAGGGGAAGGTCAGCGAGCAGCAGTTTAATCAGATCGCCAAACTTGCCGCCCTGCAGCACAGAACCAAGGACAGCCTTTATGCGCCCACCATGTATGTTCATAACATTCAGTGCGTTTCAGTACCGGAACTGTGACTCACGCTAACATCAAGACCAGTTTATATATTACTTCTTGCACTTGATGCAATTAATCGGCATAATATTAAACCCTTAGAACCAAAACGATAGGTCACTTCTAGCCTTCATAACTTCAGAACAGTTTAAGATACAAACATGATCCACATATCAGATCCACCGCCCCTAACCAGTTAGTGTGACGTCACTGAGCTGTGAGTAATTCAGTGAGTAATTCGGCTTGGAAAATCGCCCAAAATCCTTATATTATTGCTCTGCTGTTTGGCCTTCATATTCCAACAAAGGATTAAAACAGTGACGTGATTCACACATCAGATCACTCATCAGACTCTGCTTCACCATCCAGAGTGATTTCATCCACCTGTGACCATCCATCAGCCAGCAATACAGCTCCAAAATCACCCTCAACCCCACTCACTACTGTTATATTACATCTCTGCTTTTAGCCTTCATATCATAAACAAAGGGCTTTCAGTTTACATTCATTTTGAGTGTTAAAAATATCTGATATTAAATATGCAACTCAATCTGTAATTAAAAATAAAGGCTGTCTTGCTGTGTATCAGAGTTTTAGCTCTGAGCATGAATCCAAGAGGACAGAAAATCAATTAAAAAAACATGTCCGCCTTATGCTGTTTATTTTTACTCATAATAACCAATAAAATAAATCAACATCAAAATTATTGCACTTTCAGCTTACAGACACTCCAGACTAACAAGTTCTGAAAAGATAACTACAACTGCACTTGTTTTCAAGATCTCTATAATTAAAAAAATACAAAATTTAGCAGGCGCTAGGTACATTTTTGATCAGAAATGACCCAAATTCATAAAGATATAAAATTTCTGTTGGCATTTACATATCAAACAATGGCATGTCTGAGTAGCCCAAGGTCTCCTAATAACAACGTATGGCATGTGTGACTTTCACATGTAAATACTTTATAATTGCAATTGTAATTGTAATTGACCCAAAAAATACCAAAAATATTCCCAGAAATTTTAGGTTTCTAAGGGTTAAAACCTTCATGAGTTGAATCTTTGTTTTAGGGCTGCACAATATAGACAAAATACTGTATTTTGCTACTGCAAATGCGATATGCCTGTCAAAAGGAATCGCTCACGCTGATGCATGTCATACACTGATGTTCAGCAGCTGTTTTTCGTGTGCTTCTCTTGTCTGTTCACTTAAAGGAGGAAAATCACAACAAACAGGGAATATTCCAACAAGACAACTCCTTGAAGTCGTCTTCAAGACTAGAGGACCCACAAAACGCCACGCTGTCAGAATGAATTGCTCAAATGCTGTTCTTTTTGTGACAGTCATGACACACAAAATAGGAAAAGCTGACACTAAAAGTTGATGGTGCTTATCAGCATTTTGTAGCTCCTCAAGTCTTCAGGACGACCTCAGACTGCTGTATCACCCTCTCCTAAAGTTTTTTTTTCTACATGATTTAAGGAACTGCTTCCCACAGAATCTCTCTCTGTCTATCTCTCTCTCTTATCTCTCTCTTTCTCTGTTCTCTCTCTCTCTGTTCTCTCTCTCAATCTCTGTTCTCTCTCTCTCTGTCTATCTATCTCTCTCTCATCTCTCTCTCTCTCTCTCTCTATCTCTGTTCTCTCTCTCTCTCTGCAGTCATGAGATAGTGGAGTATATTCCAGCTCAGCTGTTTACCAGACAGGGCCCTCAGCAGTGGATGCACCTGGTTACGCAACACACTCACGCAGTCCAGAGCCTCAACCCTCACCAGGCCAGAGCACAGTTCCTAGGTACCCCCTCCAGAACCTGCACAAACACGTCTAGTACACAAACACCATGAAAACAGTCTACTCATTTGCCCCCTTATAGATGCAGTCTATCAGTCAAGACATGTTTGATGAAGGTCTGGAGCTCCAAACATGTCTTGGCTGATCGATTACAGCTGGTGTGAGAAGATAAATGGGTGAATTTGATTTTCATCAAACTGTTCCTTTAAATAAGAGCAGTTCTTGCATGAACAGAAGCCAAGGCTCAAGTAAGCCACAGGGGACCCTGCCTGTAAATATTAAAGTCAAATAGACCAGATAAGCCAGAAAAATAAATAAAAATTGTGTAACAGTTTAAAAAAGACTGTTTTCTTCACTGAAACAAGTATTTTTTAACAGTGTAGTGAAGGTGATTAAACCCATCCAGGTGGCCACAAGAACCACACTGTTATTCTTGTGTTGTTTTACCCCTATATGTACCTGCCTCAGTGTGTGTATGTCTTTGTGCTGTAGGGTTAGTGTGTGCGTTCCCCATGTTTGGATCTTCCTTCTTCTACATTCTGAGTAGCAGCAACAGCACCATCTCCACCCCCTGCATCCTGGCTGTCAATCTAAACGGCCTCCACTTCCTGGATAAAGACACTCATGTACGTATTACAGCATTTACAAAATAAATGTACTGACTCTTCACACACAGATAACTGAGACATTTCGCTGATTTGGGCCACAGTCGGCCAAAAACGCAGCAACTTAAATGAACGACTCAACCAAAAAAATCAAATCTATACAGTTTTCTCCTCACCACAAATTCAGCTGATCAGCCAAGACATGTTTGGTGTCTGATGTTAGCTCTTTAGTCTTACTCTGGGGCTGCTAGGCTAATGGAAGCTAACATAGCTAAGCTAGCATTTTGCTAACTGCCTAAATCATCACACACTTGCCCCAAGCAGCTTCGAGTTGCACAGTAATCTCAAATAGACTTGATTATGTAAGTCTGACACTGTGGGACATAAAATATATGGTGTTTAAATTCTTTAAAAAATATTTCTCACTGCCCGTCTACTCGGATATACCCAGTATTTTGGAGCGTTTCACTGTGTCCTCCTGAGTGCTCTCGCCTTCTCAACTACACCTTGTTTTTTCCAATTTTTATCACTGCTGTCCATCTTCGTATGATTCATGTATGAAAATTAGTACACTGGTAAGCAGTGCTAACAGGATTGCACTCTGTAGAGCATTGCATGTAATTTCAACCAGCTCCAGATTCACGACCAGTTAGAATCAGCAGTAGACCTCTGAGGTCATGCAGCATCCTGTAGTCTTCATCACGCCCATATTAGAAACTCCAAGGCCCAATCCCATTTCACCCCTCGCCCCTACCACTTAGCCCTACCCCTCTGTTTTGCATGTTCAGGTCTAGGGTTAAGGTGTCCCGATTCTTGTTGGGATAGAGGGGTAGGGCGGAGTGTTGGGGCTACATGGCCCTCCAAACAGAGGTTTTTCAGAGACTCCAAAGAGAGTGTTATGAGAAAAAAAGAAAAACCAGCAAGACGGCTGAACAAATGACCAAAGAACCCCACAAATGTGAGAATTTTCTCCATTAAAAATTACGCTAATCACTGTATTATCCTTTCAATGCATCATAATCATTTTCTTTGTAACAAGCATAAAAAATTGCTAATAGCTTGCTAATATTTTGGTAGCTAGCGAGCTAACTGTCCTGTTCCACCTTAAATATTCCATCAGTTCTGATGCCTGAAGCGCCAGAATGTAACTGCTGCTCCATTTAAGGTGGAACGGGAAAATTCGACCAAGAAGCTGGAGAATATCTGACTTCAGCTTCGTATCACCGAATAATTAGCGATGGGCGATAATAAATAATTGTCTTATACCCCCTCGTTGAAGACATATGATGTCCTAAAAGTAACTAAAGCCCAGCAGTGAGGAGCTGAACTTTACCCTCCTCTGCTATCCCTGAAGACGGGTCGGGTCACCCACAGAGCAGCGCTAGTAGCCTGTTAATGAAGCGATGTTTTGGGTTGTCCCACTTCGTAGGGCAAGATTTCAACCACTACACCTTGTAACTCAGAAAACAAGGGGTTAGGGTGTAAAAAGAAGAAATGGGATTGGACCCAAGTCTCAGCTGGATTTCTTTATGGCAAAAATGAATAGGATTTGCGCAAATCGCTAAACTTTGCATGAAAGTAATAATATAATAATAACAGCTACTCCTAATGTACTGTAATACTGCCAAAGCAACTTAGGACACTGGACAAAACCTGCTGGTTTGTTCGGGGTATTTTTGTGCACTTGTATGTTTTATGATGCCAATTGAATGTGCAGCACTGTTAGCTCGCATGTAGCAAAATAACTAACTAAAAATAACTAAAAATCCACTGAGATTCAGTGGAAAAATGTATGTATGACAAAACATAATGAGCCTGAAATTATTTAGGGGCACGATAGTGGCATTTTTTGAAAATCCCATTCATTTTTGCCATAGAGAAATCCAGCTTAGACCATTTCTAATAGGGGCATGACACCAACTACAGGATGATCAGACGACTTCAGTGGTCTGTCCGGGACTGTACAACTCGCTGATTTAACCCCTAACATAGACAGTTTGTCTGAGCATTCTTGTGTTTGTATCCACTAGTTCGTATTTTAACCCACAGTAGCTGGTCCAAAACGTTACTGGCCCACCGGCAGTGCTCCCGACTCTTGTGATTACCCTTTCTGGCTTTGTTAAACAGACAGAAGTACATTGCATAGTGTAGCACGCCCTGTGCTACTCCAGGCTCCAGGACGCTGGAGGCAGGGTTCACAGTCGCAGCAGCCATTTCAAGATTATTCATACACCAAACAAACAACACAAACAGAACCAAAGCCAAAGCTACGCTAAGCTGGCTGCTTTTCAGTGGCTTCTATTTAGACTTTTCAGTCTTTTTCTTCACTTGAGCTTTTCAGCTTTTCACTCAGTCTCTCAGGCGGCTGCAGCTCGTCCCTCTCTCTCTCTCTGTTCTCTCTCTGCTCTTTTTTAAAGGTGCTCCCCAAACACCCAAGCCGAGAGACAATGAGAGCTCGATGCTCCGCCTCCTTGTCACCGCCCCCGCTCGCAGCTCGTCCGCCAGGATCGAGCTATAGGAGTAGGATCGATTAAACTCGAGTTATAGGAGTTTAAAACGGCGCCTCATGTACGTCCATGACGTCAGTGAGCGTGAATAGCCAATGAGCTGCTCCGCTCACCAATCAATCAGCACTCACTAGCACTAATGCTCGCCTTCTGCTGCACAAAACCCGTTTACTGTAGAAAAATGGAAAAATACAGGTGAGATTTCTTTGCTTTTTAGTGAAAAACATCCTTCTACCTTCTAAAATTAAAGAAACGTTCTGGGAAAGTGATTAGAAACTATTTTAACTTTTCATTTTTAGCCGTTGAGCTGCATTTACTCCCATTCGTTGAGGACGCCCTCACAGACGCCCTCTGCTGTTTAGCAGTCCTGTTTTTAATATAACGGGGAGAACAGGTAGTGGCCAGACTCCTCATAAACCAGCTCTGGCCTCACTGCGCGCCGCCCCCCTTTCACTCACGGTATTCCTCCCCCCGCCGTCCTCTTTAGGCTTCGTCTCTGCTCAGAGCTCGGGCCCAGCCTTCCTGCTGGATCTGGCGGCCACTATCCTGGCTGTGGATGGGCGCACGCCACACATATCTATAGAGTAGCCATTTTAAAGCCTGAAAACTGACCATTACTTGTTAGCGAGACTAGCCTCGTAGCTCTAGTGCAAAACTAAAGAAGACGCCAAACATGTCTCGGCTGAATGACTACATTTGGCTTAAGCGGGGGAAACTGTACATTTTTTGCCAAACAACTTCGTTAACCCTTTTGTTGCCAAATGAAGGCGAAAGCAGAGAGCTAATAGCAGGTTTTAGAGTGATCTGGCTGTGTTTTGAGCTAGTTATATTTCTGGGTTGTGAGATGTTAGAGCTGGTTTCTCTCACTCTAGCTAGTGATGGCAGGTTCCTCTGAGTGTTCTGGTGTGTGAATCATGTTGCTATTTTTAACCCTTTATTTATAATATGAAGGCTAAATGCATCGTTTTGCCCGCAAATTCTTTTTCTCTTTGTAGGAGGTTTTGGTGAAGTTTCCACTGAAGCTAGTTCAGTCCACTCACACCCAGCGGCCCAGCGCAGGACTGAGTTACCCTTATGTGGACATCTTACTAGGAGACATGGCTAACCCCCGAATCACACAGTTACAGCTGGAACAGGTGACGCTCTCACACATACGCTCACTTTCAGAATTCATACATTCAGATGCTGGTGCAGTATCTGTAACTTTATGTTATGTTTGTAGGGGTTGGAGCTTTGCCGGGTCATCGCCATGCACATCGAGAATCTGCTGTCACTTCGACAAAAGAGGCTCACTCTGCCTCCGAGTGAAATCACCCTCCTCTAACACACTTTATATTCACTGACCGGTTCACCTTTTGTTTACGCTCATTGTCCATTTTATCAGCTCCACTTACTATATAGGTGCACTTTGTAGTTCTACAGTTACAGACTGTAGTCCATCTGTTTCTCTGCATACTTTGTTAGCCCCCTTTTACCCTGTTCTTCAGTGGTCAGGACCCCCATGGACCCTCACAGAGCAGGTACTATTTGGGTGGTGGATCATTCTCAGCACTGCAGTAACACTGACGTGGTGGTGGTGTGTTAGTGTGTGTTGTGCTGGTCTGAGTGGATCAGATACAGCAGTGCTGCTGGAGTTTAAACACCTCAGTGTCACTGCTGGACTGAGAATAGTCCACCAACCAAAAATATCCAGCCAACAGCGTCCCGTGGGCAGCGTCCTGTGACCACTGATGAAGGACTAGAGGATGACCAACACAAACTGTGCAGCAGCAGATGAGCTATCGTCTCTGACTTTACATCTACAAGGTGGACTAATAAGGTAGGAGTGTCTAATAGAGTGGACACTAACACACCACCCAAATAGTGCTGAGAATGACCCACCACCCAAACAGTACCTGCTCTGTGAGGGTCCATGGGGGTCCTGACCACTGAAGAACAGGGTAAAAGGGGGCTAACAAAGTATGCAGAGAAACAGATGGACTACAGTCTGTAACTGTAGAACCACAAAGTGCACCTATATAGTAAGTGGAGCTGAAAAATGGACAAATGGTGTACATAAATGGTCACTTAGTGAAGTAACTGGTCGGTGTGGGTCACAAAACCACATATATACTATAAACTCATAAATGCTTGTGACATTATTTTGTTTGCCACCACTTCATGGCTGGTAGGAGCTCAGGGGTAGAATAGAGGAAAAGTTTGGAAGTTGACTAACATGAAAGGGTACAAATATGGCAGAGATCACCTCAAACTCTAGACATCCCTGTCGCATGAAAACTGTCTCTGAAATGGTAACTTTAAGAGGGATAGAATAAAACAAGCCTTAACTTTAATGTAAGTTAATGCAACAACATTTTCCTCCAAGTCAATTTGGACCATTAGTCTGTTGGTCCATTCATCATGAAATATTCACACAAAGTAAAGGCCAGCTGGCATTTTCAGGAAAAAATAGCTATAAGGTTCCATTAATTTCAACATCTTTAAGATTTTAAGGTTGACATCTGACGCATAACCGTATGCTTAATAAGACACCCAGCTGCTGCCCTTTACCTGTCTGTGGGTCAACCTCAGAGACAGAGTGGGTGACACAGATTGTATGTATACACACCAAAAAAACCAAGAGACCTCTCTTTTATATTTAATTTCCAGTCAAAATGGTCATTACATACACATTGGTCATTTTTAGAAGATATTAAGTGGGAAAAAACAGGAATTTCCAAAACTGGAGCTCACTAAATGAGTAAAAGCTACAGAGAAAACAGGAATCCTAACAGCCACCTGGAAGACCTGGTAGACACCAAAGCTGTCCCCATCAGATAAACAGCGCTTAAAGCTTTCATCTGTGAGAGAGAGGAGAAAATCAAGCTGCTTCAGATCTGAAAACATCCACAGGTGTTTCTGTCCATCCTTCCACTGTGAGAAGACGACTCAGCGCTGTGGGTCTGAAAGGATGTGTAGCTGTCAAGAAGAACCTCACTGAGAAAAGGAGATGGACACATCAAACAAAGAAGCTGAACGATGGACTGACCAGTCCAGAGTCCAGACCTCAACACCACTGAATGGGTTTGATTACTTCAGAAAATGATCAACCAGCTTCTAAGACTGAACTTTGGAGGAGTGTCTGAAACTGAAAGTGAGTCTTCTGAAAAGAATGGAAGCTGTAATGAAGGGAAAGTGTGATTATATTTAGTTGTTGAGGCTTCCGTGTCATTTTCTAATAAGTAATAACTTGTACTTAACAGACGTTTGGACTGGAGGTTAAATCAATGAAAGGTGGTCTTCACAGTACTGAAGGTATTCAAAGTGATACTCCTCGACATCCACGTTTCAAATGGTTCTAAAAACCATGATGGGCTTTTATTCTTATATGTGGATCCATCTAATGAAGATGTTTCAGTTTGTTGGGAGAATTGCTTTAAACATTTTTGCACAACTTACAGAATTACGTTCGTCTTCAAACTTACTCAAAATTTCTTCTCAATAACATTTGGTTTACAATTTATCAGATTACTTTTATATATCGATAGTATTTATGGTTCATCGTATGATTCAAGGTCTAAAGTCATGACTTTAGATTTGAGAACTATTTATGCTACTTTTATATTTGAACCAGCGTGACTGATTTTGACGTCTTGACCAGACAAAATATGTAAAAAAAGCAATATTTTTGTATTCATTGCAATTTATACTCATGTATATTCAATCATTTTTGTGTTTTTTCATAGTATTTGATACAAAGTGAAGCCACGCTTGCTGTAAAAGCATCCATGTATTCTTAAGTACGTGTTTACAGACACACGCAAGTTCAGAAAAAGCTGGAAGAGCGTCACTCAGGAGAAAACAAACATGAATGTAACGGTTATTTTCTTTATTGAACACATGTATACTTGCACACAAGCTATGAACTTTTATGTATTTTTGTATGTGTCTAATGTAAGTGGTTGTTTATAAACAGAGATACATTAAATAAATGAATTAATTCATTTTTAAATGAATGAAGTTACTGATTTAATCTGATTTATCGGTTTGTTGATTCCACTTAATTTAACCACGTTCACTATAATGAGTTTATAAAGTACACTATGAACATACAGTGGCCAGAAAAAGTATGTGAACCATGTATGTTCCACATGAAACACTCTGTTCTAGAGAAACTTGGTGAGTCAGGATTGTTCACAGTGGTGGTGATAGGAACCAGACGTCTCAACAGTGTAATGTCTCTTTATGTCTTTATGCTGCTTTATGTCTGAAACATAATTTCACAATAGTTTTGAAATAAGATTTCAGCCTAAAATTAATTTTTAGAGGCCGACTATAAGATACACTATATGGTCAAAAGTATGTGGACACCCCTCCTGCTTATTGAGTTCAGGTGTTTGAGCCACACCCATTGCTAACAGGTGTATAAAATCAAGCACATAGCCTTGCAGTCTCTATAAACAAGCACTGGCAGTAGAATGGGTCGTACTGAAGAGCTCAGTGACTGGCACCATCATCAAATGCCACCTCTGCCACAAGTCAGATTGTGAAATATCTGCCCTGCTAGGTCTGCCCCATACAACTGTAAGTGCTATTGTAGTGAAATGGAATTGTCTAGGAGCAACAACAGTTGTAGACCATGCACACTCAAAGAGTGAAGCTGCTGAGTGCATGTAAATATCACCCATCACTTACTACATACTTATAAACAGCCTCTGGAAGCAACATCAACACAAGAACCGTGAGTCAGGAGCTTCATGAAATGGGATTCAATGGCTGAGCAGCTGCACTCAGGCCTAAGATCACTATGTGCAATGCCAAGCATCGGCTGGAGTGGTGTGAAGCACCACCAACGGACTCTGGAGCAGTGGAAACGTGTTCTCTGGAGTGACGAATCACAGGTTACTCTCTGATGGATGAATCTGAGTTTGGTGGATGCCAGGAGAACATTACCTACCAAAATGCATAGAGCCAACAGTAAAGTTTGGTGGAGGAGGGATAATGGGCTGGGCTGTTTTTCAGGGTTTGGGCCCTTCAGTTCCAGTGAAGGGTGATGTTAATGTGAAGACGTTTTAGACAATTAAATGCTTCCAACTTTGTGGCAGCAGTTTGGTGAAGACCCTTCTATGTCAAATATCTTGTGGAAAGCTTCCCAAAAGAGTGAAGTCTGTCGTAGCCACAAAGCAGGGGCCAACTCCATACTAACGCCTATGGTTGTGGAATGGGATGATGACCAACAAGCTCATATAGGTGTCCACATACTTTTGGCCATATAGATACATTCAGATTTACCACCGTTTTACTTTTATCAACATTACATATAAAAACTCAAAGTATGTGTGGGTTCACTGGTAGTTTTGGATAGGAAATAAAATGGCTATATTGGTGTTGCAGACACGGTGACCCCTGGTTCCTATGACCACCACTGTAAAGAAATGACACTGACGTGGTGGTGGACCCCCACAGGACCACCACAGAGCAAGTACTATTTGGGGGGAATGGATCGTTCTCAGCACTGCAGTGACACTGACGTGGTGGTGGTGTGTTAGTGTGTGTTGTGCTGGTGCGAGTGGATCAGACACAGCAGTGCTGCTGGAGTTTTAAACACCTCAGTGTTGCTGCTGGACTGAGAACCAAACCTATCCAGCCAACAGCGTCCTGTGGGCAGCGTCCTGTGACCACTGATGAAGGACTAGAGGATGACCAACACAAACTGTGCAGCAGCAGATGAGCTGTCGTCTCTGACTTTACATCTACAAGGTGGACTGACAAGGTAGGGGTGTCTAATAGAGTGGACAGTGAGTGGACACAGTGTTTAAAAACTCCAGCAGCACTGCTGTGTCTGATCCACTCAGACCAGCACAACACACACTAACACACCGCCACCACATCAGTGCTACTGCAGTGCTGAGAGTGACCCGCCACCCAAATAGTACCTGCTCTGTGGGGGTCCATGGGGGTCCTGACCACTGAAGAACAGGGTAAAAGGGGGCTAACAAAGTATGCAGAGAAACAGATGGACCACAGTCTGTAACTGTAGAACTACAAAGTGCACCTATATAGTAAGTGGAGCTGATAAAATGAACCGAGGTGGTCATAATGTTATGGCTGCTCGCTGTCCACGTCCATCCATGGACAGGCAAACCTTTGGCTGAGAGCCCACGTGGGCCGCTTTGCCTGCGCATGCGCAGTACGGCAAAACAGTTGGCTTAGGGTGAAGGCGAGTTGATTTTCCTCCACAGCGCAGTTTCTCCACAGCGCCCCGGACCCCCTGAGCTCTTCTCGGTGGGATTTTGTGCTCTAAGACTCGGACAGCTGTGCGGCCGGTGCGACTCGGTGGTCTGCGGAGAGGCTGTCTGCCGCCCCGCGCGCTCCGTTTCTCCGTCGGCTAGCTTGGTTAGCCGTTAGCGTTGCTATGGTAGCTAGCGCGGCTAACCCAACACCAACTTAGCCAGCGAGCCAACTTCCACCGCCTGTAGGACGAGCGGAGGAGAGAAGGCGGGGTTTAACCGCGTTTAGACCCGCGAGTGGACGTGAAGTGGGTTTATCTGGGTCAGAGATACGAAGAAAGTCAGACTTTCTGTCAGTTTTGCGGTCTGTTCCGCCGCTAACGTTAGCTTTAGCCGAGCGTGTGTTCAGTCACGTCGCTTCAGCCGCCGGAGCTTTAGCCCGTTAGTGGACAGGGAGGGAGGAGGGGCTGTAACGGCGGCGTGGGCTCCTGAAACCGCCTTAACGCAGCGTTAAACGGGGGCTTTGGGCGCCTAACGGCACCTGAAACGAGGTAACGGGCTGGAATATAACGTTACTCTAACACGGGGTTTAGTACCTGTTTATGTGACATAAATGTGACTTTGGGTCGTAACGTAGTGTAACACGGGCGTTTAGTACCTCTTTATGTGACATACGTGTGACTTTGGGCCGTAACGTAGTGTAACACGGGCGTTTAGTACCTGTTTATGTGACATAAATGTGATTTTGGGCCGTAAAGTAGTGTAACACGGGCGTTTAGTACCTGTTTATGTGACATAAATGTGACTTTGGGCCGTAAAGTAGTGTAACACGGGCGTTTAGTACCTGTTTATGTGACATACGTGTGACTTTGGGCCGTAACGTAGTGTAACACGGGCGTTTAGAACCTGTTTATGTGACATAAATGTGATTTTGGGCCGTAACGTAGTGTAACACGGGCGTTTATGTGACATGAATGTGATTTTGGACTGTAACGTAGTGTAACGCAGGCGTTTAGTACCTGTTTGTGTGACATAAATGTGACTTTCGACTGGGCACATGGGCTTTTAGTACTGTTTATATGGCTAAAGGTGATTCTGGACTGTATTAAAGTGCACTATGGGCACCTGAAGCACAGTTTTTCCGGCATAAAGGCGACGTTTATTTGGTGTTGCTCTGACTGGAGAATGAAAATGTCTGCGGGCGGCTTCACGGATCTGAGGGAGAAGCTGAAGGCCATGACGCCGCACCGGGAGGAGCAGAGGAGCGGCGGGGAGAAGCGCCGGCGGAGGCCCCCTTCAGATGAGGAGGATGAGGAGGAGGAAGAGGTGACAGCGCGCGAGTTGGAGGCGCGCAAGGTGAAGCGCGGCATCGCGCAGGCGCGCGTGTTCACTCCAGAGGAGTGCGCACACATCGAGGCCAAGATCGACGAGGTGGTCGCGCGTGCCGAGCGTGGGCTGTACCGCGAACACACGGTGGACCGCGCGCCGCTGCGCAACAAGTACTTCTTCGGTGAGGGCTACACGTACGGGCCCCGGCTGGAGCGGCGCGGGCCTGGCCAGGAGCGCCTCTACTCCAAGGGCGAGGTGGACGAGATCCCCGCCTGGGTGCACGAGCTGGTCATCAGCCGCCTGGTGGCGCGTGGGCTCATCCCGGAGGGCTTCGTGGACAGCGCTGTGATCAACGACTACCAGCCGGGCGGCTGCATTGTCTCGCACGTGGACCCCATCCACATCTTCGAGCGGCCCATTGTCTCTGTGTCTTTCTTCAGCGACAGCGCACTCTGCTTCGGCTGCAAGTTCCAGTTCCGGCCCATCCGTGTGTCCGAGCCCGTGTTGTGTGTGCCCGTGCGCCGTGGGAGTGTCACCGTGCTCAGGTATGGAGCTGATTTCCAGGTTTGGAAATGTCTGGGATCAAAGAAGTGCTTATTACAGGTCTGGAAAAGTCTGGAGTTAAAGAAGTGCTCATTTCCAGGTCTGGAAAAGTCTGGCATAGAAGAAATGTTCATTGTCAGGTAGAGCTGGGCGATATGGCCAAAAATGTTATCACGATAAACAAAATTCATATCGTTCGATATCCATACATACCGCGATAAATGTCAAATCATTATTTATTTCAAGTTTGAAGGCTGATTTTTGCTCCTGGGGGGTTAATTCCTGTTTTAAACTATCCTTTATGGTCGGAACACAACAAACACTCACCAAACAGTGGAACATTTCACAGATCTGTCACGGGAGAGTGGGAGAAAGTGTCTGGTGAGCTGTTTTTACCAGCTGGAGAAGCACGGCTATTTTTGTAATTGTCATAATTTAAGAAAGAAAACGACGAGCGCTCGGCTACCCCGCTACAAATGACATCACAGTATTCAGACACCAGCTAGACGACTGGATTTCTCTATACTATCGTAGTAGTTTAAGTGGTGAACCGCAAAATATCAACACCAGACAAACTGAGTCCTCCTTTTAGGTACGTTTAAACTGAAAGCGGTGCTTTTGTGTCGTGTTTGATCCACAGTATCATCAATTCTCCGTGTTGTGGAGTGACGGAGCTGCTTCAAGTTAGCCAGCTGCTAAAACAGCTAGCCTGGAAAGCTAGCGCTCTACCCGCTCTCCAATGCCTCACAGCTTCCTCAGTTTACTTTCGTTTAAATCAGGGCTGTAATTTAAATGAACCCACTTCTTTCATTCACTTTCGTTGCTTGGGAATGCACTAATACTCAAACATGACTGTCCGAGCGCTGTAACAGCGCTGTAGTTGTGAGGATCAGACGTGATTTAACGCTGCTAAAGCTGGTTAGGATGTACAGAAAGAGGTGAGTTCACTGTAGGTCAGTACAGTTACACCACTGACCTCGTCACTCACACTCGGTCACAGGAGAACAGATCGCCGGTCGCTCCACTCAAAAAGGAGATTGTAACTCCACATTTCAGCCGTTGCGAAAGACTCGTCTTACTCGTGGCCCCCTCCCTCTCTAATCATGTCGAAAAACTCTGAAGTGCGCCCTCTACTGGCGACAGCAGAGTAGTGTCGCTTTCCTTGCAGTAGAAAACGCCACCAAGGCTTCCGCTGAACGTGGAAGTGTGAGAATGGTGTATTATATCGAACATTTATCGAACATGTCGTATCGCTCTATCGAGGAAAAGTTGTATCGCGATACTTATCGGTTTATTGCCCAGCCCTATTGTCAGGTCTGAAAAAAATCTGGAATGAAAGAACTGCTCATTTCCATATCTTGAAAGTTTGTGATTTAAGAAAGGACCACTCATTTCCAGATCTGGAGAAGTCTGGAAAGAAAGAAGTGCTTTTTTCCCCAGATTTGAGAAATTCTGGCATTTAAGATGCACCTATTTTCAGAACTGGAAAAAGTTTGGAAAAGGAGAGGTGCTCACTTCCAGATCTGGAAAAGTCTGGAATATGAACAAAAAAAAACAACAAATACTTCCCACTTCTGAAAAACCATAGGATTTACAAAGTGCTCCTTTTTGGGTCTGTCATTAAAAAAAATGAAGAAGAGAGAGAACGAAGAACAGATATTGGGTAGATTGAGTAAATAAAACAAGGATGCAGAAATCAAAATAGAGTCAAAATTTAGAGAATTTAGAGTCAAAGTCTGTAGATATTCCCAGATTCTCAGCCCTACACACTCTTGTTGCGAGAGCTGAACAATTTGAGGAAAATACCGCATTGTGATTTTTCAGACCTGAGGGCGCCGGACGGCCTGTTAGCTGTGGTTAATCGTATGGGTGCTTAGTCGCTTCTGAAAGTCCTCAGTGAAACATGTAGGCTTTAAAACTGCAGATCTTGTGATTTGAAAATTGTACTCATCCAAATTGTGATTTCCCTGTTAACCAGATTAATCTTTCAGCCCTAAATCTTGTGCAGGGCTCTTTTCCAGACCTGGAAAAAGTTTATGAAGTATTACAGGCTTAAGATGCCAAAATTCTCAGTTCACCTCAGAGAGGGGAAAATGTGCTGTAGTTCTCCGCCTGACGTACATCACAGCTCATGTTTCCCTTTCATGTACTGTTGGAGGAAACTGGGAAAAATCATGAAAATTAAGGAATTTATTCATGAGGAAAGGACCAGATCCCAGTCAGGTTTGAATTTTAGAAGCACGTTTTTGACAGCTAGAAAAATAAGGGAAATCAAAAGCTTTAAAACACAGATGTATATTGGTAAAATTAGACATTTCTGATTCTTAATATCACTGAAAAATGACAGCCTGTGCTTGATCTCTTAATTTGTGCTCTCGTAAATCATATTACATTTCCTGTTTTCCGTTCGCTGTGGTACAGTTAACAAAAGCAAGAAAAACAAACAAAAGTCGGAAAAAATTGAAGAACAGTTTGGGAAAAAGCCTTGAAAATGAAATGTATTTCTTCGTGAGGGAAGAGCAAGAACCCTGTAGAAGGGTCATTCTACAGAAACGTCCACGTTATTTATCCATAGGAGTCACTGGTGTTACACATAAGAAAGGTAACACCAGAGACATTTTTAATGAAAAACGCATTTTACAAATTGGCTGCTACGGAGCATCAGACCATGTCATCAGTCGTGGAATATCCACTAAAATATGTCATTTAATCCATTTGTGTTCTATTTTTTCACAATTACCTAAAAATAAAGTCGGTCACACCAGTGACGTCATCTAAAAGCTTCATATGAGATCATGAGCTAAAAGAGAAAATCTCTGATAACTGAAAGACTCAGTGGACTCACCATGGGCTTTTCTTCATAGATCCTCATAAAACAGGTAAAAGGAAGTCGAGTGATGTCATCAGTGTGACTTTTATTTCAAAATAAGAGATTTTTGTTATGCAGTAACACCAGTGACACGACTCCTGGGGAACTTTCATTATATATTTTAGAATATTTATTTGGCATTTGTTTTCCTTATGTCATTTGAATCATATATTTGATAGTCATGTACAGATTATTGCAGTTAAAATTGCAGAAAAATGTTTTTTTTCTTCAAAATATGGCCTCAGCCTTTCACACATGACTGTGAGGACGAGCTCTTCTGTGGTGCTTGGAATTCTACACGATTGATTTAAAAACCAATATTGCTAAATTGAGGCTCAAGAAGGTGTAACTGTTAAAAGAACTTACTGTTTTATTTTAAAATATAAATAAATTGTAATGTTTTTTAAGTGTAATATATCTGTAAACACAAGGGACACAAAAATTCAGGGCTGTAACTGAACTCTGCAGATCTCAGCAGCTGCCCGGCAGTATGTTCCCACTCTGTTCTGACTCTGTGTGAGGTTTAACGTTAAAGCTTGCGGACGCTGTGTCAGTTTGGAGATCAGAGAGGTTGAAGTTGACTCGTCTCAATTGCTGTTCCAGTGGCTACGCTGCCGATGACATCACGCACTGCATCCGGCCTCAGGATATTAAAGAGCGGAGAGCGGTCATCATCCTCAGAAAGTAAGTGCGGCGAGTGGGACGCTTACAGCGAGCACGACGGTATAGCCGCTATTGGGCCTCAATCACCAACTATTCTTAGGAAGAAATTTGTTCTTAAAACCCACTTACGCAGTTTTCACTAAGACCCTGACACTCACCAGTGTTTTCTTATCTGGGATTTGTTCTTAGGTAAGAACAGGTATTACACACTCCAGAGCACAAAGGTGTGAACAGTTCTGCGGTCACCAATCTGACGTAGACTTTCTCTTAGGACCTTTCTGAAAAACACATTTAAGAAAGAACTTAGATATTGGTGAATGAGGCCCAATGTTTTCTGCTAGAAATATTTCAGATGTTTCCTTTTGTTATGTAAACCGATCAGGCATAACATTGTGACCACCTCCTTGTTTCTACACTCATTGTCCATTTTATCAGCTCCACTTACTATATAGGTGCACTTTGTAGTTCTACAGTTACAGACTGTAGTCCATCTGTTTCTCTGATACTTTGTTAGCCCCCTTTTACCCTGTTCTTCAGTGGTCAGGACCCCCATGGACCCTTACAGAGCAGGTACTACTTGGGTGGTGGATCATTCTCAGCACTGCAGTAACACTGACGTGGTGGTGGTGTGTTAGTGTGTGTTGTGCTGGTCTGAGTGGATCAGACACAGCAGTGCTGCTGGAGTTTTTAAACACTGTGTCCACTCACTGTCCACTCTATTAGACACTCCTACCTTGTCAGTCCACCTTGTAGGTGTAAAGTCAGAGACGATAGCTCATCTGCTGCTGCACAGTTTGTGTCGGTCATCCTCTAGTCCTTCATCAGTGGTCACAGGACGCTGCCCACAGGACGCTGCCCACAGGACGCTGCCCACAGGACGCTGTTGGCTGGATGTTTTTGGTTGGTGGACTATTTTCAGTCCAGCAGTGACACTGAGGTGTTTAAAAACTCCAGCAGCACTGCTGTGACTGATCCACTCCGACCAGCACAACACACACTAACACACCACCACCACATCAGTGTTAGTGCAGTGCTGAGAATGATCCACCACCCAAATAGTACCTGCTCTGTGAGGGTCCATGGGGGTCCTGACCACTGAAGAACAGGGTAAAAGGGGGATAACAAAGTGTGCAGAGAAACAGATGGACTACAGTCTGTAACTGTAGAACTACAAAGTGCACCTATATAGTAAGTGGAGCTGATAAAATGGATGCAAGGAGGTGGTCATAATGTTATGTATAGTATGTATAGTAGATGAAAATGAATGGAAAGAATGTTTGTCGCTGCTCTCAGAACAAAACCTCGTATCTCCAAAATGGTAACTTTACAGGACAAAGAAAAAACCTACTTTACTTTTAATGTAAGTCAATGGAACCAGAAGTCATTTTGAAGCGTTTCTGTTGGTCCATTCATCATGAAATTTACATACAATGTAAAGGCCAACAGGCATTTTCCAAACCTGAAAAACAAGAAAAATGGAGATGCGAGGTTTTGTTCCGACAGCAACGAAATTCTTGGGAATTCCGGTTTGCGGTGTAACTTTAGTCAGTGTCTCTCTGCTGTACAGGACAAGGCCAAACGCTCCTCGTCTGGACACAAATCCTTTGAGTCCCTCCATCACCCTACCTTCAGAGAGACGGCACAAGCTCAAAGCGAAACGCTCGCACCGCAAAGCCGACCCAGACGCCGCACACAGGTAGGCGCTTTGAGTAGCCACTGCAGAGCTGAATTGGTCAGTTTCAGACGCGCCAGTGTGTTATTTAATACGGCTGATTTGTGTTGCAGTTTTATGCTATGAATAAAGTTGTCCAAGTAAGTCAACTCACACTGTGTTTGAACACAGCTGCTACACCTAAACCAAGGAGTCATAGCGTAATTACACAGGAGTCGTTATGCTCAATAGACACTTGCCTCTTACTTTCAATGTAACACTTCGATTTATGTTTTTCTTTCTTTAAAATGCTGGGTTGGCCTGTTAGAGAGCAAATGATGTTATTTAGGTTACAGCTTTGGCTAAAAGGAATCACTTAAAATGTGCTAGATTTATGTGTTAATTTAGCCCACGTAATGTAGAGTTTGAAGGAAAAACAGGCTACTCAGAATCAGTTAGGGTTTCGGACAATTTGGCCGTTAAGAAACCTGAAATCTCTGTCTAAATTTATGGCTTAGTTGGCAGGTTGTCTGTGACAAACTCACAGAAACTTAAGCTCCAAATCAGCTGTTAGTTTTGTAAAGTTGAGCTGGTCAAAACACAGTAACAGTGGTCTTTCTAAAGCCAGGGAGACATGAGCTCAACTCAACCTGTAGCCAAAGTCCCATCATCACCTTGGGTTTTAAAAGTTTAGTGTATCTGAGGTTCATATAGAATCAGAAAAAATCTGATATTTTTTGCTTCGCCATTTTCTACACGCCGACGTTGATGATGAAAAGCTCATCTCGGCTCAGCTGCTTTGCCCGTCACGTGACGCTAAAGCCCATCAGTTCCGTTTTAAGATGAGAGATGGTGGAAGAAAATGCATAAAAACAAAAAAGTAATACAGAACAATAGAAATAAATAGTCACCCATAAAAAAAAATCATAATAAGTTGCTACCTGTCGCCACTGACGAGTTAATTAAATGTTTTATTATTTATTATTATTATTATTTATTGTTAATTTCATTTTAGTCGCAGTCCGGAGCCCTACTGTACCTTTCGGGAAAAGCTTGTGTAGCACAGAATGTTAATCTATTTTAATGACGGCCATAAATGAGAGCTAATTAAACAAAGTGTGTAGTGTCTCGTCCACACATCCAGGATAATGTAAGAATAGATCGTATTGACAGAGCCAGGTTTCTCTGATGTGTGACTGAGAAGCGAGAATAGAAAACCCAGAGCGGAGCGAGGAGCAGAAACGTCTGCCGCTCTGCTTCTCTCACGTCCTCCGCTACAAAGAGACAAATGTTAAGAAGAGCCATTTTGTCCTTTCAATAAAAATCGAACCACTTTGGGAGCCACAACGTTTTATGTTCATTCGACCATCTTGGCTGTAAATATGTCTCAGTAAGTGCTGATGTACTAGTATAGAAATAAAATGTAAGATAAACGAAAGCACAGACTTACTGTGCTCTGCTTTAACCTTTAGCTTAAAGCTTTTCTCGCATCTCCGGCAGGAAACTTTTCCTTAAAACTCAAATAGTTTCATGTAAAATGTCTCTCAATATTTGACTTTTTACAAGGCTGAAGTCGCTTCTCATTCGCCGGCTTCTTGTTCGAATTTTGCCTTTTCACCTTAATGTAACGTAACTGCTGCACCTTTTAAGGTCAAACAGAAAAATTCGAATGAGAAGCGACTTCAGCCTCGTGACTTTTAAGTGTTTGCCAGGTTCTCACTGCAGATTAAAGTTATCAGGAAACCAGCTGGAGTGATTATAAATGCAAATAAGTCCGTTCGTCTCCAAATTATCAATATTCGTCTTAAATCTCTCTCTTTGCCTTTTCGTTGGCTACTACCTAGGCGAGATTGCTGTCTGCGTTGCTATGGTGACCAGCAGTCTGTGCTCCAACCTTCAGGGTTAAAGGGTGAATTAGCTGTTCTACATTAACTCCAGTGTTTAAGACCATTTATTGTTAAACTGTGTTAAAATGATGAGCAGAGCTTTATTTTACTGCAAAGGAGGATTATTTTATTTTTACCTAAACATGTAATTCTGCTATGGAGCCGCAACAGGGCAGTAAAAGAGCTGCATGTTGCCGACCTCCGGTCTAAGCGTCGGCACTAGTACAGGGATATTCCTAGTTTGATGTGGTGGTGCATCATGCCTAGGAGTAAACCTTCACCTTCACAGCTTAGTAGCACTGTGGGGTTCAAATAACACTCTACTGTGTTAAATGACATTCGATCTTGTGGTGACGCCATTCGGGACACTAGCCCACGTTTGGTCAGATGGCCTGATGATTGACGTTTGTTGGAGATCTAGTACTGATTTACGTATTTCTCTCTTTTTCTTGCAGGCCTCGCATACTAGAGATGGACAAAGAACAGCAGAGGCTTTCTCTCTTTTCGCGGCAGGATCGTCGCGGCAACGCCGGCTCCGAGAACTCCTGGAGGAGGGTGGACGCCGCCTCGCTCTACAAACACACCCACCACACGCACACTGACGCACCTTCCCGCCAGGTCAAGATGAGACGCCACTGAGGAGCTTTCACATCGTCAGTGAACGAAGTCGAGATCTCTGTAACTGCGGAACGGCTTCCTTCAGTGGCCGACCTTGAAGCTTCTCTAGGGGACTTGTTCTTTCAGCCTTTACAGCTGCTCTTCTGGGCTCAGTTCTTCTTGAGTAAAGGCGGTAAATGAGGGCGACTCGTTCAGCAGGCTACGGTGGACAAAGCAGTATTAAAAAAAACACTCAGCGTAGACATATCGAAGCAGGGACCCCAGACCATTGAATGAGTGCTTACCAATCGGTTACTGGTACGGAAAGAATGGCGAAAGTGTGTCGTTTTACTTCAGTGAGTGTGAAGGTGTGTTCTTATTTATGTCTTCTTTGGAAAAAGGCGTTAATCTAACAGAACCTTTACTCAGTGCTTCAGAGATTCGGTTTGCCAGCAGTCTTAGCCCTCTTATTGTACTGTTGGTCATTAAAAACGTCTGCAGCAACACAATCAGAAAAGGAAAAAAAATCTGTTTAAAAAAACACTTGTGTTGATATTGGACTGCTAAATGTTGTTTAATTCTCGCTGCTCTTCTTAATACTGGCACCTTAGAATAATACAAAACCTGACGCAGGATCGGTGACGATGTTGCGTCAGTGTTGGACCTACTCATAGTTTATCTCTAGCCATGAGAATGTAGAAGGGCAAGTTTCGCTGTTCAGCGTCGTCTGTTAGGCATGCATAAACGCCGTGGGGGGAATAAAGACGTAATTCAAAAGCATGACTGTGGTTTGAAGGCATTTAAATGAAATTACACTGAGCACCTTGGTTTTAGCTCAGTTCCAGTTCAGACTCCCACTGAAGTGACCCTGTAGAAATGGACGTGAACTTCGTCCCCATCCAGGGGATAAACGTGGATTGACAGGGGAAATTAACCCTTTCTTTGAGATCGGTCCGACATATGCAAAGGTTTGCCTCTAAAACATGAGACTGAGGCTGTGGCTGAAATGGATTCCTGTTGCCCCCAGATTGGGAAGAGCTGTTCAGTTTACTAGATGGTGGTTAAAACGTATGAATTCGGACACCACCAGCCTGCAGCAGTGTTCACCAGTCGCATAAACAAACCCACAGTTGCTCGCGAGGCTGAAGTTGCCATCTTTAGCGAAGCTGTAGACGTGGACGTGATGTTTGGGAAGTGCTTGACTAGGCTACACGTTCACTTCTTGGTCCATGTCTGCACCTTCAGTTCACCTTCAGTGTTTTTGCTGTAGGCTGAGCAGCTTTAGGGTCTTTGTTTTTAGCTGTTCAGAGCTGCTGTTTTTTCCGGAGAGTCGAGAGAGTCTGACGAGTTTCACTGGCTCAGCAGCCTCTGTTAATGCAGTGTAACAAGACTCGCAATGTATATTGGTACATATCCAGCTTTGGTGTTTTCTCGAAATTTTGAGTGCACTGTGGTAAATTGTAGTGCCTCAAAATCACTCTGAGAGAAAGATCGGCCGCTCAGTAGGGCTGAACGGTTTAAGGAAAATACCTAATCGCGATTTTTCCAACTAATATTGCAACTGCAGTTTAAATTGTGGTTATTTATTCTTTTTTTATATAAATTGAGATTCAGGCCTGATTTATTTGGAGCAAGAAGACCAGAATATCCACCTTTTCTGGCTTGAGGCTCGACCCCTGAACGGTCAGACTGCCGGTAAGCTGTGGTTGTGATGTCACAACACATGGAGGTTTGGTAGCCTCTGATTGGTCAAACTCACCTACAGGCATTTCAACTGTTATTGGGTTCAGTTTCCCCTCTTAAAACTTAAAAGTGTTTTTGATAATGTTCACACTTCAAAAAGAAGGTTCTTCAAGGGTTCTTTAGTAAAGACAGTGCTTCTATATAGAACAATGAACAAACAAAGACCCATTTTCAGGCTTAAAGGGGTCTTTTCATGGTGAAGTGGTTCTTCAGATTGGTGGAAAATGTGTTCTATATAGAACCTTTTTGAAGCTTGACATTGTAACAATAGCAAAACTGTTTTTGGTGCTATATAGAACCTACACATTCTCCATCAATCCGAAGAACGATTTCACCATGCAGAGAACCCTTTAAGCCTGCAAATGAGTCTTTGGTTGGTTATTGTTCCATATAGAACCACTGTCTTTACTAAAGAATCGCGTTCTCTTAAATTGCGATTTACAAAAACGATTGATCTTTCAGCCCTGCAGCTCACTGGTGCCCTAAAGTGCAAAAAGGAATCCATTTCAGTCACAGTTAATGTGTTAGTGCCTCACTTGGGTTCGGCGTTGCTTGCATGTCTATTTATTTCCGTTATGTTTGCCGTTTATTTTTGATTTTGCTTTAGAACCTTTGCTTTCTTTTTCCACCATTGGGTAGCTTTGGAAACTGCATGGTGGCAGTCCAGTATCAGAGAAATGGTGGTATCGGAGATGGAGGACGTACCTCGCTGTTGGTGGTGCATCTGTATGAGGTTTCAGTTGAAGAGGAATTCCATTGATTTTACAAAACGTCTTTAAGGCTGTGTTCACACAGCAGGTGAAAGTGGCCCAAATCTGATTTTCTCACCAAATCCGATTTTTTCGTTTGGCTGTTCACATTATCTTTTAAATGTGACCTGTATGTGACATCAGTCTGAACAGATCAGCTCCTAAACCGACCCGCATGCGCAAAAGAACAGAGCTTCACATGGCGGCTCGTCCAGAGGTGAACAATCATGACGGGCAGTGAACGCCAGTCGCTCCCGGAGCTTCAGCTTCATCTTCGCCAGCATCACAGGAGCGATTATGAAGTTCCAATGATTGACAGCTGAGCTCATCACCCACAGTGTGTTTGAGTTCGCTGAAAAAGGAGCACGTTATTCTGCCACGGCCACTTTTTGGGATCGTGTCCTCGGATTCTTTAAACTTTTTTGGCGCTGCAGCCTCGGGCTCCTGCAGCCGCGTTCGGCTGTTTCTTTCAAAATCTCTTCGAACACGGAGCCGTTTGATGAGTCTCTTCTAATTTTTTGGTACAGAAACATCAGACTAAATGTTTTTTATTGAGTCTCAGCAGCGCGAAATTAGGACGAATGTCGTATTGGACTGACGTAAAAGTCGCATGAATTCCGATCAGGCTGTTCAGACTGAGTCGCATTGCCGCAGATCAGATACGGATCGGATTTCAGTACCACATTTGAAAGCGTCTCAAATCGCAATTGAAAATGTCTTGATTGATTCAGTGTGTTTATCTGTTCACACTGACACACATCTGAGTCACATACGGAGAAAAAGATCGGATTTGGGCCACTTTTACCTGCTGTGTAAACGTAGCCTAACTCAGTGGTGGGATGTAAACAAAGTCACTCACAGTGGTTTGATGTGAAATGGTTCACTGTAGAGGAGCGGATGATTTCTTTACCGTGGTGGTGATTGGAACCGGACTCACAACGTCTAGAACTTCATTGTATAGCCTCTTCATTTACCGTCCAAACCCACCCATGAACCTGCATGTGTCTCCAGGGTTGGTGATAAAATCTGGAATTTCTTTGGGGACTAATTTGCCTCACAACACCCTCCATGTAGCTCTCCACCTTGACTGGAATTCAAAAATACATCTTAGGCCGAAACCTTAAATCAAAACTACTGTAAAAAATTGACATCCTTTCTGTGAGGCAGATTTTAGAGGCATTAAACTCCTCAGACGTCCGGTTTCCATCACCAACTACTAATCAGAATAGCCTTGTTTACATCTTAACCATTTAACTATACAGAAGTTTTGTAAAATCAGTTGAATTCACCCTGTAAAAAGGCTGCTGTTGTAGTGCTAAGCAAGTACACCTGTTGTACAGATGCAGATTGTTTTTACTGGTCATGGAAACGATGGTTAAACATTACTGACCCACCGGTTAAGGTCATTTTCTGGTTAATCGATCATCTTTACCTAAAACTTTACACGTACTCAGACTGTTCTGTTCAGTCGCGGCAGAGGAGGAGTGAAGAAAGCTCGTCTTTACGGCCGTTCGCTCTTCCCTGCTGCAGCTCGAAGTTCAGAAGGGTTCTGCAGTTACGACCCAGTCCGTTTAATTTCACCTCCCTTGTGTATGAAGGGAAATAGAGGTGAGCTACGAAAGGACATTAAACCCACGAGGTTGAGTTTGATTTCACATGAACTCTCGGTGCCTGTAGAGTTTCTGTTTTGAGGTGTTCACACAAAAACATGTGACTCAGAGGTTTGGTTCTGTTGTAAACATGAATGTGTGTGTTTTTGCATTGAAGATGTACAGGCCTGGGAGATGAAGAGAAGCTATATAAAAGTTCAAAAAAAGAAGGTTTCAGAAAGTTTCTTTGGATTTATTCCTTTTGTTTGTTGCATAACATTATGACCACCTCCTCGTTTCTACACTTATTGTCCATTTTATCAGCTCCACTTACTATATAGGTGCACTTTGTAGTTCTACAGTTACAGACTGTAGTCCATCTGTTTCTCTGCATACTTTGTTAGCCCCCTTTTACCCTGTTCTTCAGTGGTCAGGACCCCCATGGACCCTCACAGAGCAGGTACTATTTGGGTGGTGGATCATTCTCAGCACTGCAGTAACACTGATGTGGTGGTGGTGTGTTAGTGTGTGTTGTGCTGGTCTGAGTGGATCAGACACAGCAGTGCTGCTGGAGTTTTTAAACACCTCAGTGTCACTGCTGGACTGAGAATAGTCCACCAACCAAAAATATCCAGCCAACAGCGTCCTGTGGGCAGCGTCCTGTGACCACTGATGAAGGACTAGAGGATGACCACAAACTGTGCAGCAGCAGATGAGCTATCGTCTCTGACTTTACATCTACAAGGTGGACTGACAAGGTAGGAGTGTCTAATAGAGTGGACAGTGAGTGGACACAGTGTTTAAAAACTCCAGCAGCACTGCTGTGTCTGATCCACTCGCACCAGCACAACACACACTAACACACCAGCACCACGTCAGTGTTACTGGAGTGCTGAGAATGATCCACCACCCAAATATTACCGGGTCTGTGAGGGTCCATGGGGGTCCTGACCACTGAAGAACAGGGTAAAAGGGGGCTAATAAAGTATGCAGAGAAACAGATGGACTACAGTCTGTAACTGTAGAACTACAGGGTGGAGCTGTATGGTCAGTGGAGCTGATATAAGGGACAGATTACACAGTGTTCTGAATGGAGATTCTCCATTGAAAAGTCAATGACAGGGAAACTGACCCGTCGTTTGATGTTATAAGAATAACACTAGAATAACTAACTTAACCTTTATGAGTATGTTGTTTGTCTTTTCAGCCTTCAGCCCACCGTAATCTTTGCCCTTTGCCCCCACAAGATAAAACGTGTGGGCACTCCTGTTCTATAATAATGACTGCCTTTCCTCTTAACTCGCTTCCTCTTAACTCACACTTGGCCAACAACCAAATTCAGTATGTAAACATAAAAGGCCACAGAGCTCGCTCTGCCCAATATAAAGTGATTAAGGTTTGTATAACTAGTCCTTGGATGGGCTTTGTCAGCATAACAGTGTGCATTGTTGGGTAATTTACAGATGGCCTGTATCTCTTCAGCACTTTTTAAAACTGCATATGATTTTCTTAGTTTTATTTATAATCAAATTTGGATTTTCTGTTGTTTTTCGGTGAAAATCAGTCACGTGTGGCCAAAAGGCTAAGTTTAGCTTGATGGTTTGATCAGTTTGACAAGATTATTCAGTTCAGGCTCTAAGAACTGAGCATTTCACACCAAAATGCTCTTTTTTTTTACAATCTTAATTGTGAATATATATTTATGCCCTATAAAATCTAAAAAATGTAAAAATTGGTGGACTTTCCCTTCAGGGCCATTTATGCATGTTACCTCTCGCTCTAATACCACTTAGTAAGGGTAGTTTTAGGAAACAAAAAGGAAAGTGTACAATCATCAGACGACAAACGCATTTCAAGACAAACCTGTTTTAGACTTTGGACACTGGAAATAATCCCACCTCATAGGATGAAAGGACAGCTCCACTGATTTTTTTCAAAATTTCTGCATAATTAAAAGGTTAACATAAACAAAGTCATTCAGAGTGGTTTGGTGCGAAGTGCTTCATTCTAGAGAAACTCACCGATAGGAACCAGATGTCCACCTCTAAAAGCTCCCTCACAGAGTTATTACATGAAATGGTTATGAACACTCAGCCTGATGTCTGAGACGCTGTTGTACGATAGTTTTACCTCTAAAACATCTTTTAATCAGTTTATTTAATCCATCCATGCTGGAGGGATACATGAAGGGTGTTCTAACTATTCTCCAAAAAATCTTTTTTCAGACATTTTTACTATTTCACCATCATCTATATTACTAATAAAACCTCTGAAGACACTGTAGGTTCACTGTGGTAAGTGGTTTGGGATAGTAAGTAAAATAGCAATATGTGTGTTCTAGAGACTGTGTCCCCTGGTTCCCATCACCACCACTGTAAAGAAATCTGACTCTAAGTTTTTCTAAAAATGAAGCATTTCACACCAAACCACTCTGAATGACTCTATATACTGAAACGCTGAATTATTGAAAATTTTGAAAATTCGGTGGAATTCTCCTTTAAGAAGCGCCGCCAGCTCTGATCCCAAACCACCGAAACACGTAGTGCACGTCTTGATGCCAAACAGAAGCGCGTCATAGAAGTCGTGGTTGGTAATTGGCCGAAAGCCCCGCCCGTCAAGTAGCCCCGCCCATCTGATCTCCTCGATTAGCTCGCTGGTTCACAATGGACGGAACGACGGAAGACATGAAGTAGAGAAAAGTGTTAACTGACTGTTTATCTTCTAATTTCGCCCACCTTTTCTTCAGTATGAGTGGGAGAGCGCGCTGAGAAAGAAGGTACGAGACGCTTCGCCTTGAATTTAAAGGTCACAAACAAAAGAAATGGTGTAAAAACAGACAGTACAGCGTTAGTTAGCCGTTAGCTAGCAGATGCTAACAACAACGGACTAACTGAGACTCTAACTGGGCCGGGGTGCTGATTAAACCCACCCGGACCACGAAACCAGCTCGCGTCTGGTTTAAACTGGGCCATACCTGTCAACTAGGAGCGTCTAACCGTGTTTTAAAACCAGTTGGGTTCACTGGGTTCAACACACACGAAGCTTCTTGTTCCAGCGTCTCTGTGGACTTTTCCGTTCCACCTTAAACGGCCCTGCAGCGACGTTCAGGCGCCTGTGCAGAGTGTAGCTTCTGCGTCATTTAAGGTGGAATGAAAAGTTCGATTAAGGCGCTGGGGAGGAGGAAGCCTCGCCAAACCAACCCTACTTCAGGGGCTCTGTTTCAGGAGCAGGACACTGAAATGAGTCGGATCCATAAAGGTCCGGATTTAGCGCGTTCCTGGGCCTGTTTACTACTAACTGTCACTAATGTTCATGATTCAGTAGTCCAGTCTGGGATTTACATAAGCGATTCAGTAGTACAGGTTGTACTGTAATGATTGAGTAGTATATGATAGGATGTACTGTAATGATTCAGGAGTCTAGACTTTTCAGTAATGTTTCCGTAGTCTAGTCTAGACTTTACATAAGCGATTTAGTGTTCTGTGTTAGGCTTTCCAAGATTCAGTAGTCTAGACTTAATGCACGTTACATAAGTGATTCAGGCTGTAATGCGCTTTACTGTGATGATTCAGTCATCTATGTTAGGCTGTACTGTAATGATTCAGTCGTCTATGATATGCTTTACAGCCCTGGTTCAGTAGTCTATGATAGGCTTTACTGTAGTGATTCAGTAGTCTATGATAGGCTTTACTGTAATGATTCAGTAGTCTATGATAGGCTTTACTGTAGTGAATCAGTAGTCTATGATAGGCTTTACTGTAGTGATTCAGTAGTCTATGATAGGCTTTACTGTAGTGATTCAGTAGTCTATGATAGGCTTTACTGTAGTGATTCAGTAGTCTATGATAGGCTTTACTGTAGTGATTCAGTAGTCTATGATAGGCTTTACTGTAATGATTCAGTAGTCTATGATAGGCTTTACTGTAGTGATTCAGTAGTCTATGATAGGCTTTACTGTAGTGATTCAGTAGTCTGTGATAGGCTTTACTGTAATGATTCAGTAGTCTATGATAGGCTTTACTGTAGTGATTCAGTAGTCTATGTTAGGCTGTACTGTAATGATTCAGTAGTCTATGCTAGGCTTTACAGTAGTGATTCAGTAGTATATGCTAGGCTTTACAGTAGTGATTCAGTAGTCTGTACTAGGCTTTACAGTAGTGATTCAGTAGTCTAAGATTAGCTTTATCATAGAGATTCAGTAGTATATGCTAGGCTTTACAGTAGTGATTCAGTAGGCTATGCTAGGCTTTTCAGTAGTGATTCAGTAGTATATGCTAGGCTTTACAGTAGTGATTCAGTAGTCTATGCTAGGCTTTACAGCCCTGGTTCAGTAGTCTATAACAGACTTTACTGTAATGATTCAGTAGTCTATGATAGGCTTTACTGTAATGATTCAGTAATCTGTGAAAGGCTTTACTGTAGTGATTCAGTAGTCTATGATATGTTTTACAGCCCTGGTTCAGAAGTCTATTACAGACTTTATTATAATAATTCAGTAGTCTATGATAGGCTGTACTGTAGTGATTCAGTAGTCTGTGATAGGCTTTACAGCCCTGGTACAGTAGTCTAATCTAGGGTTTATATAAGTAATTCAGTAGTCTGTGATAGGCTTTACTGTATTTAGGAGTCTAGTCTAGGTTATGCATAAGTGAGTCAGTAGTTTATGCTAGCATTTACTGGGATGAATCAGTAGTCTGTTGTAGGTTTTACAGTCCTGATTCAGCAGTCTAGTCTAGGGTTTACATAAGTCATTCAGTAGTCTGTGCCAGGCTGTATGCTGTATGCTGCAGTGAAGCTATACGCCTCTCGCAACAACTGCTGCTTGCTTTGTTGGTGTCATTAAAACGCAAGTTTAGCTGTTCAAACAGAGTTCTAGGTCAGTTCTGGTCTCTGATCATAAGCTGTGGTAGGCCTTAAAGTACCAATTCTGTAGTCTGTGCCAGGCTTTACAGTAGGGATTCAGTAGTCTTAGATGGGCTTTTTCCTAGAGATTCAGTAGTATATGCTAGGCTTTACAGTAGTGGTTCAGTAGTCTAAGATGAGCTTTATCCTAGAGATTCAGTAGTATATGCTAGCCTTTACAGTAGTGGTTCAGTGGTCTAAGATTAGCTTTATCCTAGAGATCCAGTAGTCTATGCTAGGCTTTAGAGTAGTGATTCAGTAGTCTATGCTAGGCTTTACAGTAGCGATTCAGTAGTCTATGCTAGGCTTTTGAGTAGTGATTCAGTAGTTTATGCTAGATTAGCTTTATCATAGAGATTCAGTAGTATATGCTAGGCTTTACAGTAATGATTCAGTAGTCTGTGCTAGGCTTTACAGTAGTGATTCAGTAGTTTATGCTAGGCTTTACAGTAGTGATTCAGTAGTCTACGATAGGCTTTACAGCCCTGGTTCAGTAGTCTATTACAGACTTTACTGTAATAATTCAGTAGTCTATTAAGTCTAGACTACTGAATAGTTAAGTAGTTTAGCTGTTCAAGCAGAGTTCTCGGTCAGTTCTGGTCTCTGATCATAAGCTGTGGTAGGCCTTAAAGTACCAATTCTGTAGTCTGTGCCAGGCTTTACAGTAGTGATTCAGTAGTCTAAGATTAGCTTTATCATAGAGATTCAGTAGTATATGCTAGGCTTTACAGTAGTGATTCAGTAGTATATGCTAGGCTTTACAGTAGTGATTCAGTAGTCTGTGCTAGGCTTTACAGTAGTGATTCAGTAGTCTAAGATTAGCTTTATCATAGAGATTCAGTAGTATATGCTAGGCTTTACAGTAGTGATTCAGTAGGCTATGCTAGGCTTTTCAGTAGTGATTCAGTAGTATATGCTAGGCTTTACAGTAGTGATTCAGTAGTCTGTGCTAGGCTTTACAGTAGTGATTCAGTAGTCTGTGCTAGGCTTTACAGTGGTGATTCAGTAGTCTATGCTAGGCTTTTCAGTAGTGATTCAGTAGTGTGTGCTAGGCTTTTCAGTAGTGATTCAGTAGTTTGTGTTAGGGTTTTCAGACAGTGTGACCTTTCACCCACATAAAAATTAAGGGACCTCTGAAATGAATAGCCCACAGTGATGTAATCACGAAGTTGGTTGGTACAGTTTCTCTTTTAGCTGAACAGGATTTCTGCCAGTATTCCTGCCAGTACCGGCCTCGCGGTACCGGCCTCGCGGTACCAGCCTCGCGGTACCGGCCTCGCAGTGGGTACTACAGAAGAACGTCTTTGTGTGAAGAGCATAAACTGGTCTTGAACGCTCTTCTGTAACAACCCTGTCCGTCTCTCTTCCCAGCCTGGCCGTGATGTTTGGGTCAGCAGTCCGTCCGTAATCAGGCTTTTTGTGGTTTCTGATCTGAGCACTACAGTGAAGCCAGCGGGCCGAGACGGGTCTAAATTTAGCTGTGGTGGGGGCGCAGCTGCTGAGAGAGTCTGAGTAAGCGCTTCTGTGGTGATGTCCTCCGAGCCCACGTTACGCACAGAACACTGGAGATCCGCTTCGGCTATTTCTGATCCTGAGTGTCAGGTGCAGCTCTAAATCTGAAAGTTGCCGTCACTCAACATGAACGCTCACCCCGTTTTCTCGTGTGCGTCAGGACGTCTGACCCTCGGGTTAAAGTCCAGCATTAACAGACTTTCTCTGTTAAAGCGCATTGAAGCTTTACAGGGAATTCTGGCTGAACTGGACAGTTTAAAACAGCAGATTTAACCGTTTTAGCCTGCGTTTCCTTTAGGCTGTGTGAAGTTTGATCAGTGTTATAATGGGTTGTGCATGCACTGCAGTGAAAAGTGCAATAGCAACTGTCTTCTGTGCTGAGTCATGTGAGTAGTGGTCAGGTCCTCAGGCAGTTTAAGTTCACATCCAGCTCTGGTGCAGCTTGTTGTAGATTTTCTGCAGTCTGTACTGGTTATAAGGCAAATATGAGTCTTGATATTAGAGTATAACTGTTATGATATTGGCCTTTGCAATACTGATCTCACAGAAATCTGCTGTAGACGAACGGGTCCTCTAACCAATCACAGTGTTTATATAATGAGTCGTGTGCGATGGGGTGTTTTGGTTGATGGACCATGAAGACCATTCATGTGAGCAGTCCTAACGATCAGACTTTTTCCTTTCACAGCTTTCATTTCCACATTATATTTCCATTCAAACGTTGCACGAATGTTATGCACATATACAAAGTTTTGGCCCAAAAAATGCAAATTAAATCGTGTTTCCATCCACTATAGTTATATGAATAATCTTTAGATGACATAGGCTACCATGACTAGGGTGGCCCACCATTAGCAATCGCCCACCTAACGTATCTCCGTACCACCCCGACGGCGTCCGCCTTGCATCTAGAGAACACAAACGCACCAGACGATTCTGGGAGCACATTCTGCAGAGCCATTTTTCAAACCAGCTTTGGATCAGGCAGTTCAGACTGTCGAAATGCTATTTATTATTTTTTTTTAATTCATAAACTGGTGGATGGAAAACCCCCTTATGAGACTCCATTTTCTGATACAATTGAGGGGTTAGTTTGTTTGTGGGGTCTGACTACACTGAGCCCGTACCAGTACTATCAAATTCCTGTTGCGTCAACTTTGACCTGGAAAATCTGTGACGCTGTGATATCTTTGAGTCTGCCGGTGTTCCAGTAGACTTATTTCAGTCAGTGTGTTTTTATAGGTGGGTTTATTTTTGACTGGAATCACTCACTGCCAGCATGACTGGATACTCAGCAGCACCATATTGTAACATAATTAATGTGACCCACTGTAAAAAAGACCTATAGAAACAGCAAAAATA